CTTGAAAATAGGAACGTTTTCCTAAAATTGTGGCATTATCTTGATTTATTGTTACCATATTTAATGCTTCAGTTACAAACAACTTTTTAAAATAGAATTGTATAAATAATAAAAAAAAAATTATATACAAAATTAAAGACACCTTTAATAACTTAACTATACCCATATTATGTAATTAGGTAAACTATACCCATATAATGTTATTTAATCTAATAAGTTTGCCATATATGAAATTTTCCATATAAAAAGCCCTCTTGGACTATGTTAATGTGACATGTATATTTATTGTTAGCTAGAAAAAATATTTAATTACACGATTTGTCCTTCGAAATAAGCTAATCTATGATTCTTGCTGTTAAAAATCAAACCTATGCCTAGCAGGGTATAAGTTCTTTAATGGCGACGAGCATAGGTTTATGATGAGAAAATACAAACTCATGCCCCATGAAAAAGCATGCAAATATTAAATACTATCATATTCACACAAAGGGATGAACTTTTATGCAAACTTGTATATTGATTACATACCATATAACTACAGTGATACAAGAAAATTTGAAAAGAATATTCAAACCAAATATACGATAGGCTAGAAAAACCTTGCACAACAGATTGGTTCAGTGTGCAAATATAACAAATTCCGTTGATCACGACTAGAGATCAATTGTGAGAGCACAATTCACAAAGCAGTTCATAGACTGCAGCTTACTGCAATCAGATGTATGTATACACACTGCATTCTATAAACCCCTGGAACCAGGAAGGTTGATCCACTGAAGTTGAAGTTCGATCTCTCCACATTCCACATTTCTCAATCTTAGGCACATATCCTGCACAACCTGACCATCTTGCCATACAACATTAGACTCTTCGGACAGGCAGTTAGATCTGCACGGTTGTATTCTAGTGATAATGGTGCCACCTGGGAGGCCACTTAAGTTCATCTTCAGAGCCTCTAGAAATGGCCTGATGTCAAATTCTGCATCTCCCATTTTATCATCTTTGCTGAAAATGTCGTGATCATACACAGTCTGGAAACAGGCAGAAACAAGAAAACATAAACAAGAAATACAAACACTGGGAAGTGTATGTTATAATATGTAAAACATTTGAAAGCACCCAGCATGTGATCATTAGCAAGAAATGGTTATGTCTCTGCCGGAACAGATAGGGTCTTATCTTATATGATAACCAGCAAACAAGAAACTTTACCAGCATGACAGGAAGATTGGGATCTGCAACAGAAAGAGTTAAATCTTCATTCCACTCAGGATTAACATCCTTTTTTACAACTCGAGTCTTCAATTTCTGCATTCAAGTTGAAAAACAGACAAGTCAAAAAAACTGAGAGCAATCAATAATATACATCAAAGAGGAAGAATTCACATTTTACACCACATTTCGAATCTGTGGCTACCTATGTTTCATGTAGTTAATAACAAAATAACACAGTAGTCAGGCATTGAGTCGAAAAGAAGAGCCAAGTATTCGAGTCCTTATGTTTGTTTGTTTTCTGCTAGTACAATAATATATTCTTCATTTCAACCACTGATTTGGGAAGCTCAAAGTACCGAGTGAGTCATGCATTATGGCGAAAAAACAGATTTTTACAAGTCACAGAATATTAAAGACTGTTATCTTAAGACTTCATTTAGAACATGAAACATGTACAAGAAAATGCTGCTCTTATTGTAAACTTTAAGGAGTACAAAAAGATTATAGTACCACAAATCAAAAGATATGGCAACTAGGTCACGGATATCTTAGAATTTATCTATCTATTTGCAGCAGCATTACAAATCCTAAAAAGTACATGGAGAAGTCCCCAAAAAAATCTCGAAGACTTTTCTGAGTGATGCAGACACCTGGGGCACGTAAGTTTCTCCATACCAGTCCACCAAAGTCAATGCACTATCCACCTACTTTTACCTTCCTTACACCCCAATCGAAAAGGAGCCAGAACACCCCTCACCAGAGGACTTTTATCCAAGGGGGTTCAACATCTACAACATATACATAAAAGATAATTTTAACCGTATATAAATAGTGTAAGTTTCTGCCTAAGAGGGTTCAGAATAACCCCTCAGCCCTACCTGACTCCACCCCTGCCCAACACACACACAATCCATTCTACATTATTAATGTACTTTCCAGAACCTGAAAGGTCAAGCTCTCTAGACGTAGAACTTGTCATGTGTAAACTTCACAAATGAGCATCAGCCAAAAGGGTTTATAGCTCTAGACTCAACACATAGAATGACCCCGAAATTCAGAAACCTTCAAAGACAAGAATTGCAACAACACACCTTACACATTCAAAGTCTCCTCAGTATAGACAAAACCTACTAAAAGGACATGACTTTTTCGACGAGACTACAACCCCTTTCTAAAAGGGAAGATAAAAATATGATAGAATTGTGAAAAATTAAATAAACTCCTTCCCAGCCCCATTCTGGAACTCATGACTTAAAAGGACAGTTGTAAAGGAATCACAGGACATAGTTAATTGGACTTGGATAATACCATCAGAAGACTTCCACAACAACCACAAAATTCAAAATTATACCCTATGTTTTTAATTCTGAATTGGGTAAAGCAAATGAAGAAGAAAAAAAAGGAAAGGGGCGGTGTCCTTTTTTTCTTCTGATTGCAACATTAATAAATCCCAATTAAACGGAACCCATCGTCAAACATGAACTCGTAACGCTAAAGATGATATCTTTCTACTGTAATTTCCACACAAAATTTTATACAGATCCTTAATATGTCAAGCAAACTGATTATAAACCCAGATGCATAAATTCTAAAAAAAACAAAATTACAGCTACTGGACGATCAATGCTCATAGACTTAATAACATTCCTTACATGAAAATAGAAAATTCTTCCATAAATGATTATATCAGCAGCTATCAAACGTTAAAACCACAATAGCAGACGAAAAATTCAACCAAAAGTTCGATGAAAAAAATAGGAAACAGTAAAAAAAGAAGAAGAATTAGTGGAATTGGTACCTGTTTAGCCATCTTGACGACAACGTAGGGATCGCTGCTGCGAACATCACGAACTGCGAGATTGATGCCTCTTTTGACTCGTACTCTGAGAAGACCCAAAAGATTTTCCATTTGAAACTTTTGGTGGCTGCTGGCCGATGTTGTTGGTAATTAAAGCTTCTACTCTTTCCTTTATAATTCTAAACAAAAAATTAGGCTCTTTTGATAACTATTTAGAATTACGCAGATATTAGTTATTTTATTTTATCATAAATTAAAATCAAGTTTTATATTAAAAAAATTATTTTCTAACTAGTTATTTGTGTCATAAACAAATTAATACAATAACCTTTTTAAATAGCTACTAAACTATTCTGCTTCTCAATGGATAACAAGCTAAGATCTATCATATGAATTCACATTTTTTCTGTTAAGCTCATTTATTTGATTGATATATTAAAAGAAAGTTATAATTATTTCATATTTAAAGAGTTTTTATTCGAAGTTAGTTTCCATTTTTAATGTAATCTATAGATTTTGAATCAAAATAAAATTTGATTCCTATTAGGTCCGTGAAATGAGTCGTAAACTGTAACCTATCTTTAGAGAAATATACATTAATTACAAGTACATCTTCTGTCTTGTTATCTTTTATATCGTCCTTGTTATAATTTTACATTCATGAATTAATATGACCTATGCGTTATTAAAGAATATGATTACATTATATCGAATAAATTTATCTTAATTTATTTTAAATTTGTACTATTCTCATCTCTGGACAAATACAATCATTTTTTATCTTATCAATAGTTTTAGTTTTATATTTTCTTTATTTTCCGTATAATAGAGTAGTATTAATTTTGATTAGTTAAAATAAAGTTTTCATTTTAATATGATATGTGGGAGTTCATATTATACGTAATGTGATAGCAACACTTATTGTGACATATAATTTGGTCGCAACTATGACTTAGTTGTGTTAATGTAATTGTTATTTCCCTTACAACTTCCCCACGTACACCAAGTCAAATAAACTCTTTTTGGTCGAATCTACAAAGGCAACGTCTTTTCAAAAAAAAAAATTAGAAAAGAAGAAAACGAGTTATCTTATAACAAAGTCAATTTATTGGAGAAAAAATACAAAAATGTCTGATAATCAATTAAAAAAAAGAATTATTCTAATAATTATAATATCAATGAAAAGTCTGAAAGCGGCTGTTTACGGAAGATTTTAAAATTAAAAAATTGTATCTTAATGGATTTGCCAATTGATTCTAATATTTTCAAAGGGCTACCACTACTTTGCACATTGTTGGATGTGTATGGTGTTATTAATATAGCAATATTAGTTATGATTATTATCAATTTAGTTATTAATTATTAAGTTTGTTTTAGCCGTTAAATTTTTATATAAAAAGACAATGAAAATCACTCAGAAATAAGAAAATTAAAAATAAAAATATAAACTAAATCATAAGTTGAGGACTCTATATACCGAATGACATGAATATAATTTATTAATTTACTATCAAATTATTGTTTAATCAGTTAAGAAAAAACCTTATATCTTTAAAAATCAATAGCCTAATTTCAAAATAAAAAATTAATTAAAATATTGTGAAACTACTAAACAAATAACCCAATAACTATTTTTCCAATTTAAATTATTGATTTCAATTTAATTTTGAACATCCAATTACTTTTATCTTTAATGAAGTCGACTTAAGCATCTAATTCTGATCAATGGTTTTTCAAATCTGAAAGCAATATAAACGGAAGAAAATAAGGATAGTGTTTACCCCAAAAATGGAAAAAGTGATTTACACAAATATTGAATATTCCTCAGTTTTATTTTATTTCAAGTAGCATCATCTAACTTGACACGATATTTAAAAAAAAAAGAATAACTTCTGAAGCTGGTGAAAAAAAAACAATTCTTAGATTAGATATTTGCGTGGTTAAAAATAATTTCATTAAGGGTAAAAGAAATACGTGTCTATAATTTTGTTTCTCGAAAAGTTCGTGTAGCGGAAGATCCTGAATTTGAGACTTTCAACAACAAAAATATTCTTTTAATAGAAGATATTCACACTTTAAAGTAAAATTATTTCTTATTATAGTAAACATGACATTTTTCTGAGACGAACTAAAAATGAAAGGGTATACATAAAATTAGGCGTACTACCATAATATGCACACAAAAGTGTGCACTCGAGTACTTCCCATGTATAACTAAGAGTGATATTCAGACTAGAAACCTTGCCCAACAGATTGGTGCAGTATGAAAGGTAGTTCTTAGTTGAACTTCTGTATTACAAACTCCATTTATTACAACCAGAGATCAGTTGTGAGAGCACAAACCAGTTCATACACTGCAGCTAGACAGCTAACAGCAACCTGCAGATATATATACCACACGCTGTATTCTATAAACCCTTCGAACCAGGAATGTTGATCCACTGAAGTTGAAGTTCGACTTCTCCACATTCCACATTTCTCAATCTTAGGCACATATCTTGCACAACCTGGCCATCTTTCCATACAATATTAGACTCTCCAGACAGGCAGTTAGATCGGCTAGGTTGTATTCTTGTTATAATGGTGCCTTCTGGGAGGCCACTTAAGTTCATCTTCAGAGCCTCTATCAATGGTTTGATGTCAAATTCTGCATCTCCCATCTTGTCATCTTTGCTGAACGAATCATGATCATAGACAGTCTAGAAACAGGCAGAAAGAAGACAACATAAACAAGAAATACGAACACTGGGAAGTGTATAGTTTATGTAGAGCAATATTTGATCAACGCAACAAGCAAGTGATCATTAGCGGGAAATGGCTATGTTTTCTGCAGAACAGATATGGTCTTATCTTATATGATAACGAGCAAACAAGAGACTTTACCAGCATAACAGGAAGATTGGGATCTGCAACAGAAAGAGTTAAATCTTCATTCCACTCAGGATTAACATCCTTTTTTATAACTCGGGTCTTCAATTTCTGCATTCAAGTTGAAAAACAGGCAAGTCAAAAAACTGTCTGAGAGCAATTAATAATATACATCAAATAGGAAGAGTTCACAATTTTAAACACATTTCAATTCTGTGGATTCCCATCTTCCATGCAGTTGATAACAAAATAACACAGTAGTCGGAGCATTGAACGTAAAGAGAAGTCAAGTATTCGAGTCCTTATGTTATATCTTCTGTTGATAAGATAGTAGTTGTCATTTTAACCCCTGATTTGGGAAGCTCAAAGTACCAATTGAATCATGCATTATGGCAAAAAAACAGATATTACAAGTCACAGTATTAAAGACATTGTTATCTTATGACCTAATTTAGTACATGAAGCAGGTAATGAAGATGATAACAGTAAAACAAATTAAAAGATTTTCACCGAAGGAAGTTCAACATCTAAAATATATACATAAAAATACTTTTAACTGTGCATAAAGAGGGTAGTTTTTTGTCGAAGGGGGTCTGGATGAACCCCTTAAACTTACCTGGCCCCGCCCCTGCCTCAAACACACACACAACCCATTCTACCCTATTAATATACTTTTCAGAACCTGGAAGGTCAAGCTCCAAGAACCTAGTACTTATCATGGCGTAAACTTCACAAATCTGCATCAGCCAAAAAGGTTTGTAGCTCCAGACTCAACACATAGAACACCGAAATTCAGTAACCTTGGCAAGACAAGAATAAGACTCCTTAGTAGACGTTTGGCCATGTGATGCCATATCACGATATGGTATCTTGAGATGGAATCAGCATTTGGATATGCGATTATACGCTGATCCCATCTCATGATTCTATATCATGAGTTCCATATTCTCCAAAAACCATGATATGGAATCATATGGGAATACTCTATCATGATTTGAGTTAGTTTAATACAAAAGTTGATTCACGAGTTTATATTTTGTTAAAACAAATCCACATTTATCTCACATGTAAATAAAATTTATAATCACATCATTACTTTTTAAAATTTATTATTTTCACCAACATATAGTCACTTTAACTGACATTTAACTCACACTTTCACAATTGTTGAATAATAAAATCTTGAAGAACCTATGAAAGACATTCATTTTTACTCAAATATATTGATGAAACAATTAATTTAGTGGAGAACAAATAACTTTGTAATAATTTATTATACAATTTTATAATTTTTTGTTTATTTGATAAGATTGCAAAAACAATTGAGGCTATTTTAATAGTTTTAGAACTTGTGATTTTTTTTATGTTTGAGAAAATATATAATACCAAAATTTCATATTGCATATCCAAACAAAACTTCAATTTCATTCATTATCCCATATCATCATACCAGATCGCATAGTCAAACGGATACTAAATTACTAAAAGCAACATTCCTTTTTTCGACAACACCACATTCCTTTTCTAAAAGGGAAGACTAAAAAATATGATAGAACTGTTTAAAATAAAGAAACTTCAACACCCCTTCCGCAGCCCCATGTCAAGCAAACTGATTACAAACCCGCATAAATTCTAGAAACAAAATTACAGGCAGTGGGTGATAAAATGCTCATAGACTTAAATGTAACTTTCTTAACATGAAATTTGAAAATTCTTCCATAAATGATGAAATCAACAAATATCGAACATTAAAATCAAAGTAATTGGAAGAAAAATGAGTGGAATTGGGACCTGTTCAGCCATCTGGATGACAACATAGGTATCGCTGCTGCGAACATCACGAACGGCGAGATTTACACCTTTCTTGACTCGAATTCTCAGAAGACCCAATAGATTCTCCATTGCGATGTTCACAAATATGCAATGAAAAATCGATATTATTATTGCTAAATTGATTTGTTCTTTTGATAACTACCTGTATAATGTTTTTGAATTTTCCACATGGGACCCACGAGTATTTATTCTGTTGTTTGGCCACCACCACATTGCACATATATTGAATGTGGGTCCGCCACTAATGGTCAACCACGTGTCAATCCTTTTCATAAATGATGCGTGAGGCTCTAAATAGGGGTAGAGCAAAAATGTATACACATAATGCGTTAATAAGTGTAGTTTGCTTAAGACATGGCACTAGCTAGGTATGATGATATGAATGTCCAAGATTAAAGGATAGATGGTTGGCAAATAACCAATATTGTCTAGTTTTCTTATCAATATTATTATCGTTTATATGTCTCACGTAACTAACATTAATTATATAAGACGTCTTGTTAAGAAGTGAACTCACATCTTACTTGGTGTCAAATGTGTGAGACACGTAGCGAAAAAGGGTTAACAAATACATATATTTGTGCTTGTGTAAAGCGAAAGAAAATTATATATACAGATACAAATATATATATTTATATCCTAATTACATAAATACATATTTCATTATGCAATTACAATGTATAAATAAATTTATATAAAATTGAACACTTCGTATAAAATTGAATGTAGCTGGAGAATTATACAAATCAAAAGCTCCATAGCAACACATAAAATTTGTTATGAAGCATAATTATGCAAATTTTAACTGTAACATACAAATATAATTATATTTGTATGTTTGCTATACATGAAAATTGCTTTAACTTTCACATATAGCAAACACAAAATTCATATTTGTATGCTTTAACAAAGTTTGCATAATGCGCTTCATAACAAATATAAATATGTATAATTCCCTATCCATAAATTTGCTGTACATATATAAAGAAACCAATTGTATATTTCGCTATACATATACAAAAGAAAGTCATTGTATACAAATCAATTATATAATTTGTGTATGTAAAAAAACGAGAAAGAGAAAAAGACAAAAGAAACTAGGCAGGGGAATATTTATATTGTATAATTATAAGTGTATAGGACGAAGATATATGTATTTGCAGGTGTATATACAATTTTTTCTCGCTTTATACAAACCAAAAAATAATTTATACATTTCGTTTCTGTTTGTATAAGTGATAGAGGCGAGAGTGGCGAGCGAGATTTGGGAGAGGGAAGAGAGGGAAACAAAAATATATGTATATATACAATTTTTTCTCTCTTTAAATAAAGACAAACTTATTTTATACATTTGTGTTTATATAAAAGTGCGAGGGAGCGAGGGAGAAAGAGAGAGTGGCGAGAAAGAGTTTGAGGGGAAAATGTGACAGACAAACCGTTTTCTACAAGACACAATTAAATCGAAGGGTGATTATAGCATTTAATTTGATTTATTAATTTGCTATTATATACAATCCCGGGTCTCCCGTCTCTCTCTTTTCTTTTTTTTTAATAAGTTTTCCGGACATACAAGGAAGTTTTTCATGGATTCACTTGGAACCGCTCTACTATTTCAATTCAATGGGCCCAACTCCAAATTCAATTCAAGAAAACCCATCCCACAGGCCTCTACAGATTTTCCCTCCAAAAAGATCACGCTGCGGAGATGGAGCCATGGGAAGGACTGGATGTAGACGATTCCGATCTCCACTCTCTTCTCCGCCCCTGTAAGCGACTCCACCAAAACCCTAATCCCTCCACATCTACTTCCACTTCATCTTCTCCGGCGCTTCTCACGCCGCCTTCTCGAACTCCAGAATCCTCACAACTACAAAGTTCTCATAATCAGTTACAATCGCCGCCTCAACGCCTCATTCCCGGGCCGGCAGGTGCCGTACAATCTGCTATGCTCCAACGAACTCAAGATCATCAATGTCATTCTTCCATTTCCTCTCAAAGGGACAATCCAATACCTACGCAAGAGTATATTAGGAGAGCCGTCGAAAATTCTACAGAGTTCGACTACGATTTCCAATCCAATCCATGGCTTTCCGCTCTTGAGTTTGTTGGTATGTAATTTAGGGTTTTAGTCTTTACTTGGAGGTAGTACTATCCTTTCAGGTGTTTTTTTTCATGGTTTATGTATACATGTATATTCATTCAGGTGCGGAGAACGGGAAAATTCGATGTACACCATTGAGCTCTGTCAATAAATGCCTAGAAACTGCTAGGGTCGATCAGGTATTTTCACCTTTTTTCGTACTGGGTTCATGATAGAAAAGTGAATACAGCAATGCTATTTTCCAGAAAGAAATGAGACAATAGTTGAAATACCAGGCCCTGGACTGTATCACTACACAAATTTCTGTAATAGCCTTACTCTTGGCAATTATTGTTTTCATAGGTTGTGGCAGTTGTTAAGTCTTGCACACAGAATGGTCTTGGCGGTCTGATGGTGACTTTGAAGGTATAGTTGCTTTAAGTATAATGTTGATTAGCAGTGAAAAGAAGTTTGCAAGTTGCAACTGATTTGATTAGTTCCTAATTTAGGATCCTACAGGCTCAATTGGTGCTAGCATTCATCACAAAGTACTTGAGGAAAGTCAGCATGGAAAGGACATTTGCATTGGCGCAGTTTTGATACTGCAAAAGGTTCTTCCTGTTACAATTTTTCTTTCTTCCTCTGACAAGTTCAAACCAACCTCTCAACTCCTCTTCCCAGGAGTCAACAGGCCCTTTTCCTACTTGGATCCCTTTGAAACGAAGCCTCAAACTCTTGGTTGAAGGTGGAGGGTCCTTCCCACATTATGATATCTCACTTGTCTTCTCCCTGTTATATCTTCAGAGATCTCTGACGTGTAATGTTTTTGCATTACTAAAAAACAGCTGACCTAATTTTCGAATCCAGGTTGCAGTGTTTTGCCCTTCAAGCTCAGCACGTTACCTTAACATAACACTCGCGAACCTGACAAAGGTGCGCATGCTAGCCTATTATTTTTTGATGAGTCACGTGCTTAGCTGACTATTATTGGACAGAAATTATTACACCATAAATTGCTATCATTGACTGCAATCTTTCAGGAACAAGAGTGAATAAATCTGAGATTTTTTTTCAAGTTGTTTCTTGAAGTTATATCTGTTCTAGCTAAATGAGCTTCTTCCCCTTCATGTAATTTTGTGCTAACTGCAAAGCTGAGATTACTTTAGTTCTTAGTCAAAATATGTGTTCAAAAATGATTCTATTAGGAATGCTTTTGCATGTGGTCATGACTCATGAAGCTTCAATTTAGAAGAACTAATTAAATAAACACTGAAAATTTGTATGTCATCAATGTCAATTAACCTCATTTCTTCTTAGTGCGACTCACATAATTGGATGCAGTAGATATAGAAATGGTTTTGGCAGAAGTCTGTTAAGAGGACTATCAGATCAATGATATCATCACCATATATTTGTTTCTAATCTCCATACATCTGTGTGCCTGAATTTTCTGCTTATGTGGTTATGTTACTTTGTCCATGTAATGGATTTATAGTTGCCTGAGACTTGGTTCTGTCAATATGTATTGGTATATCTTCCTTCATCCTGAGTTAGCATTCTCTAGTGCTCTCTCCCTATCTCTTCTTTGCTCTTAGACACTAACAAAATATCTGCAATTGACAAAGGAATTATATGCAATAGTTTTAGATCTTGAGTTACGCGTAAGGCTATTAGATGAAAACTACTGGAAGTTGGTGTTGTTTGTCTTGTATCCTCTAATTTGATATTCTACAGTGAGCACTAAGCCACTTATGCACTTCCACCGGGTACCACATAAGCTTCGAAAATTCTATAAGAACAGAAGAATGCTATAAGAACTTGTCAATCGTGTATCATAATTGATTAGGCGTTGAATATCCTCCTAAGAGCTATAAGTGCCTTACGTGCAGGTTTTCTGCAAGGAAAGTGGACCTCCATTAGTGAACAGCCTAGCCGCATATGAACTCAACTACAGTGATCGTGAAAATGGTGAGGGTTGATATTCTATTATGTACTATATACTAGGAGGATTTTCCTAAGTCAGTTGCATTATCATTGGTTTATATACTATATGAAAGGTTTCTAGTATTCTGGTTAATCATTCATTAAATTTCGCAGCATCAGCCTCTGCTAGAGAAGCTAGTGCACTGCAGATCATGGACAATGTTTCAGTTGAAGATATCCTAGATGATAGGACCATAGAGTGCTCTGCAGGTGGAAATTTTCGTAGTGAGATTCAATTGGAGAAGGAAAATCAACTTCCAGATAGAAGCTACATATGCAACAACAGCAGTGGCTTTAAGAAAACCTCAGTTGATGACAAAGAATATCTCCAGCAGATACAGAGTAGTGCCAAAGGATCTGAAGGAACAGTCAGAAACAGAGGCACTTTTAATGAAGATAATAATCAGCAAATGGGAGAGAATTCCCAGGGAATCCTCACTCCGAGGAACAAAAGAGAGAGTCCAACAAAGAACTACATTGATCCAGTAATTCCAATTACTAATGAAGTCAACAATCATAGACAGCCAATTGCTCCGAAAGTGTCACTGCCTGAATGGACAGATGATCAGCTTGATGAACTGTTTGCCTGTGAGGATGACGATGAATGAACCATACAAAAAAGTTTGGTCCCTTTTTGTTTAGGTTGATGCTATTTCCAGTTAACTCTAACAGTAGTTCTCAAGATTCCTGTAAAGTTTGATCTAGTTCCCCTCCTGTTTTGACATTATCAACAGATGGAAAGTATACTAAAGAGCTTTATACTATTTTGATGTACCGAGTGCTGGCTGGTAAGACTTGTATGATAACCAGCTAAACTCGCTTATTTATCCAGGAAAAATCATCACCCATTTAGAAATAATTTCACGTCTTTAACCTTTTGTTTTACTCCAGAGGGAGTAGTGAACCGACGTGAAAAGCCTTACAACGTTTAGGTTACAGTACTCCAAATGATGTGTACTCCAAAAATAATTAAATTGGTCATGTTGAACGATGAAGTAATAGCTCAAAAAGTTACAATTTGAATGCAATATACTAACAAAATTGCACTAGACATCAAAACTCTAGTATATTTTTAAGCTGTAGCCGATATCTAAGGGGCCGCTCTGTCTTCAAAGTACCACGAGAAAGAAAGAATTTTGAGCTGCCATCATTCCTCGTATTTTTAGTCATTCAATTTGTCATATTTCTGCTGAGATGACCAGCTTCGACACAGAAAGGGTCCAGCAACAGCAATCATTCTAAACATGTTTACCTTCTAAAGGCACTATGGAAACAACTTCTTCAGCCTGTCAGCAGACAGAGATGCTCTTTTGTTTGTTGGCTCAAGAACTAGTGCGTATCTGAAATCTGCAGAAGATGATAAGGAAAACTAGAGTGTCAGAGAACACTGTAAACAGTAGTTTTAGGATGGACAGGTCATCTATGAGTTCCCGAGAACACGTTTGTTCCAATGACTAGGTACAATTAGACCTTCACAAGTCATCCTAGAGTACTTTTTTCCACAAATGTGCCTCAGGTGATGTGATTCAGCCGTAAAGTTTGCTCATGAAGGAAATAGGAATTAACAGCTGAAGTTGTTGAGACTCACCTTCAATTGCCTCTTTGTAGTAGCCCAGCATTTCTCGTGCCGTGCCTCTTCTTAAGTAAGCCTTGACATTCTGTGGAGAAGAAACAGCAAGAATGTTTCACCTCAGAAAAGCATGTGACAGGTAGCAAGACCAAGATAGTGGCAATTTGTATAGCATTACTAGCTTATACCAGTCATCACTTTTTACCATGAAATGCAGAATACTCAAGTGCAGTACCCAAAACCTTCTTCCCAGATCTCCCGAACCCCAAAAAGATACGACCAATAATTAACTCTGTTTCTACCTCACATAAACCTTATCCAGGATCAACAGAGCAACAAAATTTCTAGAGAGACTAGAAACTAAAATCATACGATAACAATGAGAAAACAATTTGAGTTATTTTCTGTAATGTGAATAGGTCACAATGAGTTACACTGAAACATAAACTAGCAAAACACACGGGAGGCTGGTGAGGTAGGAGACCACACCATCAATGTTTTTTTGAGTAAGGAAACAATTGTATCAAAAGAAAAACTTACCACCAATGAAGGTGTTGAGAACAGAACTTTACAAATCCCGAAAGAGTATATCCATCTTTGTCCAAAAACCTTTAATCTTATACAATGCCTAATAGATCTAGCAAGTCTCCTATTCCCCTTCAACAACCCCCCCCCCCCCACACACACACATTCCATTTACACCAAAAGAAAAAGAACAAACTTAGATGGCTAGGAGGGCCCACCTTCTTATCAAGATCAATGGCTTTACTGCTATCAGCTTCGGCTTGGAGGAAACTGGAAAAGAGAACTAAAAATTAGTATATACGAATTTTACAAACAAATCACGGAGAAATGGGGGAAAATGGAGAAACAAATTACTTTCGCATCTCCAAATGAGCTGCAGCCCTGTTGCTAAAGTATGTTGCACTGTTACCATTGAGTTTGATAGCCTCTGTGTAGAAGCCAATGGCTCTCTGCCACTGTTTCTCTTTGAAGGCTTGATTACCCTGTGAAAAATTATATAGTATAAGAACCAAGCTGTGAATACTAAGGGAGCCTCGAAATAAACCAAAAAAATGACAGAAAAAAGCAATAGTGAAGGTGCATTAGCAGAATAGCCACTTGTCACTTTCACTCCTGAGCTCTCATGTTTTTTTCAAATTTGTCAGTCAAGGCTTAACATCACTGAGCTCCTGCTCTTAGGCTTATGACTCCATACTATAATTCTTTCACACCCAGCTAAATGACTGAAGAAACCTGGTCACATCAACTTATTCCTTTCCAGAATTCTGTCAGATAGGATATACAACACTTATTTGCTAATGTTCCCTATTTGAGGATGAACCCACATAACTGATATAGTGTGCTAAGGGGATCTTCAATCTGCCTAAATTCTTTTTTTTTTGGTATGCTAAGGATTCACCTACAAATCCTTGCCCTGACAAAAACAGTTTCAGCACTAAAAAAAAAAAGTAATGGGCATCAGGCAAATGTGATTCTTGTGTAAGCACCAGGGTATTGTGCACCAAAAGAGAAAGGCCTGATGCTGAAAAGTGGGGTAGTTCAGGAAAACAAGTGAGCAGTGACAGGCTCAAATAAAAAACATCAAGGAAACAAGCACAGAAACTTGATCCCAGGTACATTTAGTATGCATAGATTACAATAAAGTTGACAGATGGATATGGCGATCTCAACATTCAAGAAATTGACAGCAATGTCACTCAAAAAAATCGACAGCAGATTATCCTTTGTGTACCTTTTCTTTAGCCATTTCGGCAGATGTTTCCTTGCTCAGGGCGTTACCAGATGCTGATGATTTTGTGGCTAATTCTGCCTGTTCCTGGAGATCTGCATAGATGGTCTGTATGGTGTCGAGCAAAAATCTGTCACCTCCCTGCCTTGCTACAAAGGACACAGAAATTGGGCATTTATCATGAAATCCCGCTGGCACGCTGACCTACAGTAGGAAAGCATATACGATTAGAGAAGTCTGATTCAATGCTGGGTTGATCAACTACTGAAGGCCAATTTAAATTTCTGTGTGCTTGGGGTACAGAATCACCAGAGAGAGAGAGAGAGAGAGAGAGAGAGACATTCACCTGACAGCCACCTGACATGCTAGCTATGCTTGAAAATGAGCATGCCCTAATCTGGTAGTCCTCAGATTGAATCTCCTTTGCACCAGTCTTTGGAGGAGGCTCAGCAACTGTGGGGATGACCAAAATTCCATCATCCTATTGAAACAGTTAATTTTAGAAAGATTAAGATGATAGCATAAGACATCAAGATACTATTCCAGTAAGATTACTTTAACATAATAATAGCAGCAGAACTTCATGAAATCAGCTGAGATTGAGATATTTAGTCAGCTCGACACTAGGCTCAACCATTAAAAATATGTATACAGATCATGCATGGTTCATCGTAATATTCTCAGATGACGTTTCATTAAAACATGAAATAGTTTTTTCCCTAAGAGGGTTATGAAATATTTACATCAGGCAACATTCTGGTTCGTTTGCTATAAATGTAGTGATTCTAGCGTGTTCAGCAGAGATTCAGCCTCATTAAGATAATCCATTTGATATTGTTTTAATGCTTTTACCATGAAATACCAGAAACTGATGGAACAGTAAATAACAAAGAAATGTTCGCGAATTAATGGTCAAAAGGGGTCTTAAATGTTACCAACTAACCTTCACAGTATGATATGATGAAGTACTAGCTGAAAGTTATAAATCCTTATAGACAAGCATTTCTGAGATGGGTTTTCCACCAAATCAAGGGGTAGGTTGGATAGAAATCAGGCAGTCCCATCATAAGAACATCGACTTAACATATACCAGTGAGAGAACACATAAAACAACCCTAAACTTGGTAGTACAACTTACTTTAGCACTTAAATTACACGGGCGTTTAAACACCCCCCTTAACATATTTGAAATGAACTAATACCACGCAAAAATATAGTACCAGCCTCAAATTGGCAAGAGTATTACACAAGCATGAGGTTGGGAGTTTGAGGGAAAAGAGACAAGCATGTAGAGGGAGCAGGTTGGGTTTTGAGAAAGCGGGGTGGGGGGGTTTGAAGAAGAATGGGTGGGTGGGTTTCTTTTTTTTCATTTATTTAAAAAATTATAATAATTTAATGCGCTTTCAATTTTTTTTCTTTTCTTTTTTTGCCACATCATCCGTTAGGGTGGTACTAAATTCACGCGAAATGAAATTAGGGGGGTAAAATAAATGCCCGTATAGTTTAAGTGTTTAAGTAAGTTATGCTGCCAAGTTCGATTGGTTTAATGTGTTTTCTCTATACTAATAAGAGTTATTCAAGGGATTGGTTGGAAGGAAATCAGGAAACCCATTATTAAAAAAAAAAAATCAACTAATTGAACACCAGTACTACTTACTTTCAGAAGATCATTTAGAGCTGAGCGCATTTCGTTCCTAATTGCATGGCAGCTATCAATATTTGTATCTGTGATTTCTAGCGCTCCTTGCATTTGGGAAGAAATAAAAGGGTCCAGATTGGGCTTTTCAGCATTGATCCACTCCAGATGATTTTGTTTGAACTCGTGTCTGTGCACAGACAATAGAAACTAAATTTAGATATGTCAATTACCACTCAAAAAAATTAAATTTAGGAGGTAAATTACCACTCAACAGAAATAGCAGGAACATCACTTATGTGTAACACTAGACGCACCAAAAATAGATGAGACAGTAAGATAAAAATTCAATAGATTTTTCTAGTGGTCAAAAGCTCTTAACAAGTATAGAACCCCCCCCCCCCCCTTTTTTCAAGCAAGTAGGTGACCAAGTATATATGCTTTAAAATGAGGCCAAAACTAACACAAACAAGATAATGTCATGACTACTTTTGCAAGCTTCCATCAGATAAGATACTTCATGCTTAAAACCAGTAATAATTGTGCCTAGTGATCTCTGAGGCATCAACCTACATCTCACCTCCTAAGTATATGCATAGCATATGCTAGCAAATTCGTTGATGAAGATTTTCTTTCACCATTGGACTTTCTGTCAGCAAACAGTTTTAAGCTTGGAACTTTTGAGGTTAAATAAGCTTCCAGATTCTCATGTCTTAGGATTTGTCCTGCAAGAGGTGATTTTCGGAAGGGATGTAAAAAATGAAAAATCTCATCAGATGCCCAGACTACAAACACATACTTCCAAACAGCTTCTCGACAGCTTTGGTCACTGCTTGACTGATGCGATCACCAGGAGACTTTAGTAACTGAAAGCAATCGTCAGCTATCACAACATTCCTTGGATTCCGTTGAGCAGCAAATGGAACCTGCAGTAGCACATGCCCGACACGGCGCAATATGCTGGGATCTCTTGCAAACCATCCTGCAGTTGGTCCAAATTTACTAAAAGCTAAACATAGAACACCAGATAAAAGTACAACGCATGGCATTCAACTTAATAATTTTGTAAAATCCATATATACCAATTATATTCCAGACTTAACAATAGCAATATAAAATGTTCATCAAGAGAAATTCCAACACGGTGACCTACATCTCTCCCAACTTCAACCCTATCCCCAGAAGTCAATGGTCTTCCATACTGCTCCCTTGGGTTGGAAGTGGAGAGTGACTTTCACTTGAGGATATCCAGTAAAAATCCTGTACTGACCAGTATCATGTCAGATTGCTGACACCAGTATTGGAGTGATGAAGAATCCAATAAACATAGATACCAAGTTACCAACACATCCAAAGGCCACAAAAGACGAGATATAAACCTACTGGACTTTAGTTTAAGTCATCCCCATCGCTTTCTTGATTCTTTTTTAAAATAAAGTGAACATTTAAATCAAATCACGAACATTGTTTCAACCAAAATGACTCGAGAAATCATAACTTTCATGTCATTCACTGGTAGCTTATATAGAATATTTACCCAGCAAGTAGCACAAGAAGAACCACGAGGATTATATATAACCAAACGACGAGCAGATTATTCAAACCCCAACAAAAGGACAGCTTTTTCTCATATCAAAAGGATATGACTCTTAGTACAGTGACATGATCCCAACATGTCAGGCTCAAAGACTCCGCAAAAAAAAAAAAAGAATTAAGTGAAGGTGAAAGATGTTAAGTTGAACTGAAGATGGCATGGACATACATACCAACTGTGTCAAGACTAGCAGAAACAGGAATTATGCCGGTGTGAGAAACTGTCCCATGAGATGGCCGAAACCCTAAAACTCCACAGTATGCAGCAGGTACTCTCACACCTCCAACAGCATCAGTACCTGGATACAGATGGTACTGTAACTTAGAAGAGCTTATTGGTTATTACCCTGTATTCATTTCCATAAACCTGATGCGCTAAAGTGAAAAAGAACTTGTCAATAAAACCAGCATAATATATCTATATTCAACAAGCACGCTTTTCTTCATGATTGTTTCTTTTAAATTTTGCCGCAAAATAATTACTATGAAATGAGGTCAAGGAAGTTTGAGCTTTTTCTTGAACTTTACCTAACCATCATTGGAGTCCAAATACAGGGCATTGTCTTAATAACTCAATTACCTAAATCAATCAGTTGCCGTTATACTTGGTCAAAATAGAAGTTTGACCATCTGAATTGAGATTTGAGATCGAGTTAGAAGCTTCATTAGATAGCCTGTCCACTTAAATAGAAAGTGGTACCTCTAACCACAAATAAAGATGTTGCAGATTTCAAATATTCAGGAGGATGCACACCAGCCAAAGTTCAAGGAGCTCGTCCTTTACATTGTGACTCAAAATTTACCTAAATGGCAATGCATACTCGAGCCACAAAATGACAACAGATGGACAAAATGATTTTGAGACGCAAAAGAACTAACCCAAAGAAAAATCAACAAACTTTGCAGCCACAGCAACAGCAGCCCCACTAGATGACCCTCCGGGCATCCGTGCAGGAGCAGCCGGATTTGTTGGAGTATCAAAATGCATCTGTTCACCACTAATACTGTACAGTGAAGATGACAAGAATGATCAACATCACGATAAGGATTCCAAATTGCAGCATAGATATGTGTAACACAACAGAAATGGAAATCATCACTAGCCAAAGAATCAAAAAATCCAGGATCCTACCAATTTTAGAAAAGAGTTCTAATTTTAACCAGTGGAAAGAGTCAGGAACAAACCCAAATGCCATGTCATCTACAACAGTTCTTCCAGTACATGTGGCTCCTCCTTCAACAAGTGTGGTGACCACGGTGGACGTCTGACTAGCAGGTTCATGAGTCCTTGACCAGTCTGGGTTCCCAAACCCTGTCACAAATCCATTGACATCGAATCTGGACAATCAAAATTCGATATGACTTCAGTAGTTCTAAAATAAGCAAATGAATTTCGAGTAGAGAACCAAGACAAGTAAATGAAACATGAGAAATAGTAACTCAAAAATAATAAAGACAAAATTGAGAAGGCTTCTATTGGACTCTCCATCCCAAGCATATAAATCAGAAATAGTAACTCAAAAAATGATGAAGACAATATTGTCAGCATACAGAACTATGCAATTTTCAGAATCTAGTTGAAACAAGACTATTCCTTTCAGCCATCAAGTGCAGAATGCAAAGCTCACACTCAAAGAAGACTGGTTATAAGTTACAACTTACAAAACCAAACATCAACTGCACCTCAATCTCAAATTATGAAACCGTGGACTTCGGTAATCAAAATCCTCTATTTTCATATTCAAATCCTCTTTATTTGATATTGCTGTCAATGAGTACAAATTAAATCTTTTTTTGATTGGTGGGTCGAGTTTTACAATAAGTCAAATAGTTAGAAGAGAAATTTACGTGCTATAAAAGAAACAATAACAAGAACAAAAACTAGAGTTCCCAATTCTCTGGAAATAAGAAGCTTACACATCGGAGATGGCAAAAGTAAGGCCAGTAAGAGGATGAGGAGCTTTAGGTGGAGGAGGCTGAGGCGGTGGCAGAAGCTTAAGACGTTCAACAAAGGCTCCAAAGTCAGCTTTAACAGCTTTCTTTAGCTTTCTGGTCATTAAAAGTATTCCAGCCAATCCTAATCCCAACAAAACCCATAAATTTGCTGACTGTGACGCCATTTCTTCACCAATAAACTCTGTATTTGCTCAAAGATTGACTTTTTTCGTAGCGACGCTCAGTTTGGGGGTTTGTTTATAATACTTTCTTGGATTGTTCTTCCGCACAGTGGGGGTGGGGGTGAGGATAGAGCAGTGGAAACCTAAAAAGAAGGTAACATTCAGCTGGGAATGGGATTCAAGAAGTTGAAGGGAATTGTGAATCTTTTATCTTTTTTGTATATTAGCATAAAAGGTATGAAATTTTCGAAAATATTACAAGATGACCCACTAAGTTTTACCTATATTTAGATAAGCCCCGTTTCTTTGGAAAAATATTTGTATTATATTGACACTGTAATTTTGGTTCAACTGAAATCAACCACCACCTTTTATTTATGATAAAATTACATTAATTATTTCTATTTTTTGCGCATTACAAAAATAGCAAAACAAATGGGTAAATGACTAATTACAATCATTACTCCAACTGAAATTATTACAAAAAAAAGATATTTTAATTTAATATTAGAGTTTTTTAATACACACGAATAACGCATTACTAAGGAAATATTTTTCATCTTTCGATGATAAAAAGAGAATGCACGGGTTCACAATTAAAGCAAATGAGGTAATTACATTGCTTTGTGATTTTACTAATCTTTATAAGGCTATTTTTAATGATTGTGGTTATCTTATTTAGTTAATGAGTGATCTGTCATTGTTTTATATTTATATAAAAATAAAACACAGCTTCGTAAAATAAAATTAGCAGCAAACATAATATAAGTTTTTGAAATCTTCCTTCTTATCTACGAGATTATAACAAAAGACAAATAGCTTAACTCAATAAGTTTACTAGAAATGAAATCACGTTTTGCTCCTGCTGCCCACTTAGCTTCTACTATAGCATGTATTACTACTAATAATTGTGTTATTTTTTAAAATTTTGATTTGAATTTTATAATTTTATGTTGCATTTAACTTTTTTATTATTTGTATTATATTAAGTGAATATAAAATAATCTTCTTCCGACTATCTTTAACTTTTAATACCATACTATTTTATTTCAGTCAATATCAAGACAATGTTACTAATCTCTAAAATTCAAAAATTTATCAAAAATACCACTACCATATAATTAGATGATATTATTTACTAACTTATCATACCTCACCCATTATTAGGGAAACACTTGTAAAAATAATGAAGCTCAGACAGTATTTTCAAGAGGGACGAAGTTGCAAATATTTTTCTTTTCTGTTTTTTCTTTTCACCCCTCAATTTTTCTCAATTTCTGCTAATTTCATTTGAACTTCAAAACCCTATCAAAAACCCTCTACTTTCTTCAATCTCAGCTGCCATGGTTTTCTGAAAAAAAAAAAGCTTAAAATGTCAGCTTCTAGATTGTTCTTTCTACTTGGAGCTTCGACTGTTCGTAACTGTAACAAGCCTACGAATATATCTTCTCCATTTTCTCCATTTCGATTCTCAAAGCCGTTGCTTTGTCCTGTTGTACGGTTCCGCAGTTACAATTGTACCTCAGCTACACTCGAGACCAAAACAATCGAACCATTGGTCAGTCCTAGAAATCATCCATGGCCAGAATGGGTTGCTTTCGTGGACCGTTTGAAAAGCAAAGGATACATTACAGAAAAAAGTACGAGCACGGGTGAAGACGGCGATGGGAGTATTTATACGGATATGAATTTGTTGAAAGATGCATGCCTTAACTTCTCTCGCGACCGTTCAGACATTTTCAAGTGAGAAAGCTACTGCTTTTCTTAACATTTTAGCAATTATAGTGTCAATGAAGTTAAATAAAAGGGATAGGAATAAATGTGTTACAGTTTTGAAAGTTGCAAGTTTAGATACTTATAGGCTCAAGAATGAACTATTCTTTGAACGATTATGAGATACTAGTATACTTGTTGTCTTCCATTTGGTCAAGTTTGCTAGTCGAAACTTGAAATTTTGAGTTTTTTAAGTTGTGTCAGGACGTACATCTTAATCGAAGAAAATTTGAAGTGTTGTGAGTGGAAGTTAAGTTTCAGAACAGTTTTTAGGAAATTCAAAATATTTGAAGATCAAATTTCTTGGCCAAACAAATATTTGAAGATAAGTTTTCAAAATATATGGCCAAACACTAGCTTAGTTTTCAAAATTTGAAAAGGCTAGAAGAGATAAGTAAAAAGGGGATAATGATGATAATAAGGCCTCATGAAATAACCCATTTTGCTGGGGAGTTGTCTATATTGGTTGTCAGAAACTTTTGTAAGTGTTAGCTTCTCGAGGAAAATCATAGACCTTAATATATGTTGAGACTGTGTTTTACAATTCCCACCTTGCCTGAGATTATGAAAGGACCTGTTGTACTTTGCAGAAAGTTGTCCACCCAAGATATGCAGAAAGTTGTGGAGAAGGGCTGTCCTAATCTATTCAGGAAGGTTGTTAACTCTGCGAAAAGGCTAAGGATTCATCTAAACCTCGACGAAGGAGAGGTGAGTTGCCTTTTAAATTATTAGATGTCCTTGCTTTTGAATTTCCTTTTCATGGTCAAGTTAGATTGATTGCAGTTCAAGGGTCATTTGACTTCTCCCTGTGAACCTATTCTATGAGGTTTTACCTAAGGAGCTTACTTGCAGGTATGTGGTGCTTGCAATTTCCGTGGATCATGTGATAGGGCTTACTTGATATTAAAGGAGTCTGAGGGTGTCGCGCGTACAGTCGATATTGTGCGGGTCTTGCTTATTTATGCATTTGATTCTGCAGTTATATCTAGTGGAGCAATGCCTCCTGGTAGTGAGCTTATCGAGGTATCTGCAAGACAATTGCTCTCAGAGTTGGTTGAATTAAGTGAGACACCTATTGATCCTGATCATCTAACACCTGCCCCCAAGGCTTCTCCAAGAAAGAAAGAGTCTGTTGGCTCAAGGACAGATGGTCTGGAAGATGTTGAAATGAAAAGAAGAAATTCAACTGGTCTTGAGTAAGTTTTCTTGGAGGTTATAAATGATTTTTTTCTTAAAAAGAAAATACTGGACTTCTTGCAAGGTACAATGGAATATATACACATTCATTTTAATATTGTAACTTAATGCATTTATATCAATATTTTAAGAGTCCTTTTGATATAATATAACTTGTACGTCTCTTATTCTGTACTACAATGGTGTAGGCAGGATAGCATTAATTCTGTCTAAATTTGATTAACCATAGTCACACCCATTGTTGAAAACGTGTGGGATTTATATTGTCATGTAAATTTTCCCTCCATCCAGAAGCTCCAATTTCATCCTAGTATTTAAAAATGTGTGGGCTTTTATGTTCTACTATATCAGATTCAAACGATTGTGGTATAACTGTTAATTAATACATGCAAATAATTTAGCTTAAACTCTTAAGCGGCCAAGGATAAGGTGTGAGTTTAGAAAATTAGTACCATACTGGTTTGGAGTGCAGATATGGTGGTTACTGTTACTATTGCGTTCAGTGGCTGTTCATACTGATTTATTCAAGCGAATAATCACACTTCTACCTTATAAAAAAGTGCACTTGCAAGAGGTTTTGAGTTTTGATTTGAAGATTTCATCTTTCCTATTTTATGATTTTTCTTGTTGCTTAAAGTTGAAATGCATTGGGATGGAATACAATGTTATATTCTAAGATGAATATTTTGATGCTCACTGGAAATCCGCCATGCTTCTCTGTAGGGGTGAAATGCCTAAAAGAAATGTTGAAATGAAGCAAGGAGATTGGATCTGTTCGCAGTAAGTTCTCATTTGCTTTTGGCATTCCTGATACATTGTCTGCACGCTTATTTGTGTTTTACCTGTATATTTGATATGTGCTTTATAATTCTATCAAGTATTATTAGCGACTTCAAAATCAAGCTTTCCACACCACCCCCACTTTTAATTTTTTGGGCATTTAGTAAGTTCTCCACCTTTTTGTTGTTTTCCCACCAAATATATCTTCTTAGAGCTTCAGGCAACTAAATTCTCTTTCCTTTTGTGAACGACAGAAATTTCACTGAGTTTTCTCTACGTGTTTGCATTTTTCTTATCCTGTGGACTTTTTCTGATGCTAGTAAATGGATTTGGAAATAGAAAAAGGCATTTTTGATTTGCCTAACTGTGCTTATCACAAACAAATTGTGTCAAGTCTTTCCACTTATTATCAGAGTCCCCATTTTGCTTTTCCCTTTTCAATTTGATTTGGCAACCTTCTTTTAGGCCTACCACCGAAACCTCCAGCCACTGCCATTCTCTAGGCAACAGTGGGTTTTCCACCTTCCCACCCCCGTTGGTGACTTGAACACCCTACCTAATGGCTAAAGTTGAGGAGCTCTACCATTAGAGGAACTCCCCCTCATCCTCTTTTTTTCTTCCTTTCTCTAGAATTACTTCCTTGTGCTCATCTTCCTGGCATGTACTGACATTGACTTGCTGCAGGTGCACTTTCATGAACTTCGCCCGCAATGCACAGTGCCTGAGATGCAAATCAAAAGGACCTAGTCGAGATGCTCCTGTGGTTAAAGAAATGAAAAAGGGAGATTGGAATTGCCCACAGTATGTTGCATCATATGATTTACTAGTTGCTGATAAAAATCTCACAGTATATCCAAAAAAAGAAAAAGCCTACAGTTATGAAGCATTAAAACCCCAGTTGTCAGATTCTATAGTTTCATAGATGATCACTCCACTATAGATCTCAAGAGTGCCTTCTTCCTTTTACAACTCTAGTCTGAGCTATTGGATTCACTGGCCTACTATAAATATAACCGAGTACGAAAAGCTTAAAAAGTGACTTTGAAATATACTTTATCTTTTTTTTGATTTCTCAAAAATTAAATATACTCATCTTTTCTCTTGATAAACTAATGTCGATTTGCTTTATACATGCACGTATACCTACTGGAATATCACATTGTACGCTTATTATTTCGAAATACTTAATCTTCTATAATCTGAGAACACTATAAGATGTTATTGCCCTGCACACGTTGTCTTCATGGCCTTCCAACTTGTTTTCCCGTCTCCTTTTCAGTGGTGTTAGTTCTCAGTTCTCGTCATTTTTTTTTGGTCTCTGTAGATGTACATTCATGAATTTTGCTAGCAATACCAAGTGTTTACGCTGCCAAGAGCAGCGTCCCAAGAGACAGCTGAATCCTGGAGAATGGGAGTGCCCCTCGTGAGTAACTTCTGTTGATTCTGCATGTTTTGGTTTTGTGGATTCTACTCATCATACTTTTGGATTCTTGTACAGATGTGACTTCTTGAACTTCAGAAGCAACATGGTCTGCAAGAAGTGCACTTGTGAACGTCCCAAAGATGCAAAGACACAGTCAAAATATGAGGAGCAACTCTGGACAAAGCCTTACTAATGTAGCTAAACATCACAGCTCATACAGTCGGTTGAGGATATCATCACAACGCAACTTTTTTTGGTGCTTCAGGTGAGTGGATATGGAATTGGGAATAACATATTTCTTCCTCTCGTTGTTACTTTAGCAATTAAGAGATGTTTGTTAAGTCTTAATTTATATTTTCGTGAAATAGTTTGTAAGTATTATTTACTGTAGAATCTAATAAACAGTGTTTCATGGGCCACTTTAATTTTTTTTTAAAGTGTAAGAATATATTGATTTATGGGTTTATCTGTTCTGGAAATTTGTAGTATGTGGGAGCATATCCAGGGTTTCCGAGAGTTTTACTTTCCTCTGTTTCAGTTTGTTCACTTCGTCTTAGCGTGATGAATTAAGAACAGAGGTAGATACAATTGATAATAGTAATAAAAAGAGAACAATATAAATCCTGTGTCATCCAAAATCATCTTAAAGCTTTTGATTGAATAGAAATAAGCAACATCTCAGGCACAATCTAAAAATAAAATGGAGAAGGTTAACATGGACCAGAACTTATGAACTTCAATTAGGAATTTTAACTGCCTCAAGTGATGTCAATTATTTCACCGTCGGTTGCGTTAGATAGCTCGAAAATTGACATTTTACTATTCTGAAAATAATTTTCCATGACAATAAAAACACTGAAGGAAATTCCCAACCGATTGGCCAGTCATGCTCTTAATTAAAATGATTTTATTATATTTTATTTTTTTGGTTGAACGAGCAATATACTTGAATAAGCTACAAGAAAGATATAGTGGAAGTATGAAATCTATACTAAAAATGAGCAAAAGCGAAATCATGTTAGTGACAAAAAACCACTCCATTCTATTTAGTCAGTGTGTATGACAAATATATAACATTGCCCAAAACAAAAGGGCATCTCTCTATGACCAAAACAAGAAAAAATTTCTACATATTTTTTCTGCAAAAGAATCTTACTCTTCCGCTATCTGGGAATATATTAATGGATTACAGGCACACCTTGCTCCCCAAGTTGATGAGGGAACGCGACCTCTCCAGCAGCAGCAGCAACATGCCTACGCTGCCGCTCGCGTAGGTAAAGTACCGTTAGAAGGCATACAAAGAGGGTGAGAATCGTTGCATTTCCTTCTTCCATTAGGACATCTTCCACCCATGCTTCCACTTTGGGGTAAATTTCTGGTAAGGAATCAATTACGTTAACCTACAAAAAAGAAAATAACAAAAAAGGGCCTTTATCAATCGACATATCAATTTAAAAAGAGAAAATATAATATTTCTACTATTTTTTAATGTCCACTTGCGGCAGCCCCTCCATTATGCAAGCAAGGGGGCTATAAAAGGGCGTTTGCAATGAAAAGAGTTCAAATAGTACTCTTTTGACAGACTCATATTACATATACTAGTAGAGCACAGAAGTCAGGCTCTGGTGATGTTGGACTATATTCAGCTCATCTGATCCCAACTACTTCTTTCGGCAACATCTTTGTACTCTCAGTGGTATCTATGAGTCTCTTCTAAATATCCCAAGTCCCTAATCCCAGCCTACTTTACAACCCTGTCCAGTTGCACATCATGTCTCTTTGTAACACCATGACATTGAGGATATCTTTCCACGTTGTTATTCCTCTGCTCACAATCTCTGACAACTTCCACAAGCCAGATTTTACCATTGCTGCTAATTATGTTAACTTTGGATCTTTGACATGGCAATGACACTCTGTTTGAAGCATCATAAGAGTCCCATGGCAGCCTCAAATATGTCAAACCAGAGTATTGTACCGTGTTTTCACAAAGCTAACACTATCACTCCTCCAACTCACGTGCTTCTAAATTTCAATATAAGTACGAGATCTTCTTACCCTTTTGTTGTTTAGGATTCGGATTGTGCTTTTTCTTCTTTCCACTCTAAATGTCTACTGTATTACATGCAGTTCATCCACACTCATAGACATGCAGAGCTCAGTTAGGAAGATTATTCGGACCACCATTCCCCAGTAAGCTAATATGGTAAATGCACTGCATCTGATAGCTCCTGCAAACTCTGGTTCAATATCTTTTTTCTGAGGAAGGTAACAAACTCTGGTGCAATACGACTCCAGCTTCTTTATACTCCTAGGTAATCCAATTACATTCTGCAAATTCCAAAAGCAAGGTCCCCCTGACAATCAGAGAGGCCTCATATTACAATGCCTAAGTAGTGGTGACCCCTTCAGGACTTCTGTTTTTATCAGGTAAATGGTTTCACTTATCACAAGGCCAAAATCGGCTGTATACAAGTATACCAAATAACAAAGAACCTACAACCATATACGGTTCTCTATGAAAGACATCCAATCCTCTATACAACCCGGAACTACATAGGTGTACCAAAAATAAACAAGGGATTGAAGACTACTCCTTAACTGTAAAACTCATTTCTACATCTTTAAAAGACCCCCAGTTTCCTTTTTGGGCATTAAGTGATTAGTCTTCTCTTTGTCACAGTTTTGACTGGGAAAATAAGGGATCATCCAACAAATTTATTAGTTCGAAGTGGCTAGAGTTACTGAAACACAAAATGAACGATCAAGTATGTGTATGCATGTGTACATGTACTTGTATGCAGAGTGAGAGAAATGGAGTAAACATTTACCAGGATACCATTGGCGTAGTTTTTCCTTATCCACAAGCTTCCAAGGGCCAATGTTACAGGCAACTTTGCCGCATGATCAACTTCCAATGCTTGATCGTAATAACGCTTGGCAAGATGAAGATCAAATGGTAGTCCTTGGCCATGCTCATGCATGTAACCCAGATTAAACATAGCTTGGGCATTAGATTGTGATTTTGCATGCATATATGCCTCAGCTGCACGGTCATAGTCCCGCTCAGTACCCTATAAAAGCAGATGAATAGTATCCATCACTTCAATAATGTGCAATTCAAGCCAAGGAAAGAAGAGATCACAATAAAGATAAACTTACTTAAGGCTACTACTAATACTACAGGATGTAAACTAACATACCCCATACTAATATGTGAAGAGATTATTATTAGAATAAGATAAACAACTTCAGGCTACTTCTATTGAGTATAAAATAACATACCCGACCATAGTAATATGCATCTCCAATAAGTAATGCAGCATGTTCATTACCCTGCTCTGAAGCTTGCCACCACAAGGCATGCGAGCGTTGATGCCTCTCTTCATCACTGCAAATTCCAGATTCTCCCAAACACATGCTTCTTTCTCCATATTTGTCAAGGATCCATGCAGCATTACTTTGCGCAATCTCATATCCTAACTCTGCCATTCTTGAATATAGAAGGAAAGCCCTGCCCACATCTCCTCTCAAATAAGACTCTAGTGCCCATCTAGACAAAGAACTCCATGGTCCACGTTCTGCAACTAGTTTGTACAAGGAAGATGCCTGAAAATTGAAATAACGGACGGCATGTGAAAAGGAGGAAGGACCATAAAAGGAAAAAAACTAAAAATACATCATCCTTCAAGATAATTTTATGCAACTTGAAGATAAAAACACTTATAATTTATCACTGTGAACATAAAAGCTTCAGCAATTATTATATCATGCTTCTCTCCTATTTCTCAGTTTAGTTTAGTGCGCGCGCTTTGCATGAGTATCTCACGTCAATCAATAAAACTATATACAAGAAGTACAAATTATTAAAAAATAGACATTGACTTTAAAATAAATGTTATATCTATGTAGGTGATAAGAATTTCATATAGGAAGGTTAAAAAGTTATTTAAGAGAACATGAACCTCTTTTTTAATATTTGTAATTCCTTTAATTCTTTGTTCATTTTGTTTACCAAAATTTAACCAAGATTATATGGTAAACATATAGATTTTGAAGTCGTAAATGTTTGGGAGAATCTTAGTAGCACAGTTGGTTGGTTACCTAAACTCCCACCTTGTTGGCGAGGGTTTGATTCCCCACATTGTAATCCCCTCCTTGTTTTCCTTTCCCTACCCCCCAATTTTAAAAACGAAAGAAAAAGGCTTGAATGTTAGGATTTATTATATAGTTCAAATAAGAAGCAAAATTTTAGTCAACCTTAAAGAGTTCTTACCTATTACAAATAGGTAAAGATTAATAGCTATACCTTTAATCAATTTCAAAGTCCTAATTATTAGGATGATAATTAAATGACAATTATTTGAGGAAAATAGTAAATGAAAGTTTTATCTATTATAGAATTTTTTAATAAAGGGAAAAAAGTTCAATCAACATTTCTAAAGAACCTCCATACTTTTTAATTAATATTAGATGAAGGAGAATGGACTTGAAGGTTACGTGCGTTTGCACCTTGACAAAATCTATCGACGACTCTATACAAGACGATATGTCGAAAAGATATGACGGGATATATCCCAGTAGAGAACAATTACTCGGTACATTCCATTTTATATGACTGTTTTGATAGGACATAGATTTTAAGAATTTACTTTAATTGTTCATTATATTATTATCATTATAGTAATAGTAGGTAGTAGATCAGTAGTAGAAGAAAATATTAACATAAATGATATATAGTTGGGGGTCGTTTAGTAGAATGTATAAGAATAATATTGAGTAGAGTGTATTAGTAATGTTGGTATTAGTTATGCTTGCTTAGTCATACATAAATTATTTCTTAAGCATTGTTTGGGTTTGGTTTGATGTATTAAAAATAGCATGCATTGCATAATTTCTAAAAAGATATTTATTTACAAAAATAGGTTTTGAGGGACAATTGTGTCTTTAACCATGCTAATGTGTGCATTAAAAACCTTGCAGTACTAATACTGTGGAAATCCATGTATTAGTAATACATGTTTCAATACACAATTGAGTGTATAACTAATGTATGCATTAGTAATATACAGGCTGAAAAAGTGTACCAAACAAGGCACTACTAATACACAAAGCTAATGCATGTGTTAATTTTTTTTAATACCCTCTACCAAATGACCCCTAGTTTCATATAGAAAGCCTCACATCAAAGTTTTAGCTAATTGAGTTTTGAATGAAATAAGATTCTAGGAAGTTGTCATAGCTGTACCAAAACATTATTAATATACTGATATCAAATTATCAACTATTTTGGAAGGTCCACAAATGAGAAGTGACATATAAATTATTTTTCTACTCCACTCTATCAAGCAATTCCCGTCAAAATGGCCACGATAAATACATGGCTAAGAGATTCTACTTCGGGATTTGAAGCCAGTTTCTAAATAAGGTCATTTAGTACAATTAGCCACCAAACATAAGGCACACCTGTGTTGTTGCTTCTTTTGGACAAGTGCCAT